GAATCCTAGTCCAAACCCACCCAAGCAAACATGCCAGGAATCTGTGACTGTACTGAACCAATCACAAAAAGGTAAGGTATAACCCACAGCTGCACGTATACACAACCTTTCTATGTGGGTGGCTGCTTGTGATTGGCCCAGTACAAATGATAGCTTCCTGTGGGGATCAGACTAGGATCCGATGACATCTGAGCTTGTCCATAATCTTGTGAATAGGCAATTCATCATGTATCCTGAATATCTTTTTTCAGAGTAATCTGTAGCAAGTAACTCAATTCAAAATTCCAGTCAGTCATGAACTGTATTGCCAGGCTGGCCAATCAAGATGGATGGACGTGCCAAAACCCCAGGTGAAGATATCAGTGATGGTGAAAAGGTACATTGTGTCTGTCACAGTGCTAGAGGGGTTCCTTTTGGTAGGTATATAGCAACATCGGAATTCTCCCACTAAGCGTATTAGACTCCTATTTAGTCCACTCAAGTCAGTATCCGTCCACAACGAGGAGAAGTACAAGACCAAGCAACACCGGAATTCTCTCACTAAGTGTATTAGATGCTTATTCAAACCTAAGAGTCCACTGAAGTCGGTGAGTGAGGGGGAACACCGGTGGGGAGCACAGTGTGTTTTATAAGCACCATTTAAGAAGAATATAGCACAGATACGTTTTTTAGAGGATGCACAATTTTTGACTGTTATGGATTTTGAATGATGTAATTGTATTAGATGACACTACTTATATTTATATATATGTATTTGTGTACTTATGATTAGGCAGCGCTTAACTACTCCTACTGTTTAAATACTGTATTCTGTGCATAGTTGAATATCATGGGAAAAGCCCAAAGTGCAAATGTTATCTCATCAAGTGGTCAGACTAACTACTGAAATGATTACTGAAAGCAGAACTTTACCCATAACAACTTGATAAACATCCATTCCACATTATTAATTATACTACCAAAATTAGTGTGTGCTTTATATTCCCTCCAGTATTGTTCCTGTTGCTTCTTGCTGGAAGCTACCATTTTGCTGAAACCCAGAGCCCCTGACCAGTAGTAAATCTTTACATTTTCAGCACAGTGCCAAAAAAATAGTGCAACTGGGCATGTGCAGAGCAGGGTGAGACCATGTATTACTGGATTTTAAACACTATAGGCACTTATTTTTAATGTTTTATATAGCTATACTTGCAAAGGGTCCAGCCTGAGGTGATCTAACAGGACTTAATTTTCTGACTTCCACTTTAATAGGCTTTCTATACGTGCATTGTGTTACATCCCTGATTTTCTGAGATGTTGAATTCACTCAGGATTTGTTAGAAAATGACTCAGCATTCAATCATTGTTGTCTGAAAACTATCCCATGGTCAGTCACTTACTGAAAACTAAACCAAAATAATATCACATGTTAGATACAGCCAGATTAGCGCATTTCTGGGTAAGAAATGATTTGTAACTGTGGGAATAATCTTGACAGTTTTCAGGAAACTGCTAAAATCTAAAACTGCTGACATAAATTCTTGCTTCTCGAAGGGGCTAATGTATGCAAATTGCACCAACAAGAAAATCTCTGGTATCCCCTCTGCTTCGGCCCCTCTGCTTGTCTCACTCCTCTTGCAGCAGGAGGTGGCATCTCAGTCTGCCTACTGCATTCTTTACATTTTAAAATAAAAGACTGACTTGATTGCTTTTGGGGACATACTTAGACAAATATTTTATATTCAGCAGAACCAAAAATCAAAGAAGCAGATGTAACGGGGTCATGAAAACACAGTATTAATACCTTGATTAAGACCTCATGCACACTGGACATTTTTACAGCCGCTGTTTTTGGCTTTTGATGTTTTTTTCTACAGCCAGTAAACTCCCCAGCATGTTATCCTATGTGTCCATGCACACATAGACTGTAATCAACATTTTTGGGCAGTGACGTTTTTTGGCTGCAAAAAAAAAAAAGAACTAGTGGGTTGCTAGAAAAAGCTGTAAAAACAATTTGATGCTGAAAAACGCATCAAAAAACACAGTAAAACGCACTAAATCACAGCAAACCAGCATTGTTTGGACTTTTTTTTGGTAAAAAAAAAACTAAAAAAATACTAAAACAAAAAGTAAAAACACGCAAAAAAAACTCAGCAAAAAGCCGCTAAACACTAATACAAAACCGCTAAAAAACACTGAAAAACTCACGTTTTTAACAAGACTTTACACATCTAACGTTACCAGTGTTATTAAAATGTCCAGTGTGCATGGAAACTAATAATAACCTTTTCCCATATTTCTTAAAAATGAGCTACAGCCTAAGTAGAAAAGCCTGTCCCCTGACAGCATACTGCATAACAGGACCCTGTCTTTGTACAGATAAGCAATGATCTTTTTGCAGAGGTACAATTTTGTGCTGAATCAGAGCCTAAGCTCTCCAATCAATGGGGAACATGAGCTTTGCTATAAAGCTACAAGTCTGACTCAGTGGAGGGCATATTGGACCTCTGCTTCCACACAGAGAGCAAAGCTTCCACTCTGCAACAGCTGGCAGGGCACAGGCCTTTTTCTTTAAGCTGTGGCCACTTTAGAAAGAAAACAAACCGTAAAACATTGAACACCTCTTGTTTTGTTGCACCTGAAATGTATTTAGTGGATTTAAACTCAAAGTTTAATTGGGTTTTAAAGAACTGACAGATAAAAAGCCAATGGATAATTCCAACTACAATTACTCTGCAGCTCCAGGGTAACTAGATTATCCTGAGCTTTGGCAAAGTGGGAGACAGGGTAATCAGTCTTTTATTTCTTAGTGCCTTCCCCTAAATATATTGGAATATCTGGAACTCTATGGGGTTTAGGTATACTGGCCAGCGGAAGCTGGATGGGTCTCAGCATTCAGGAGCCACAGGTTTCCATTGTAACAATGCAGCCACAAAACAGATGGTTCTTATGTAACGTATGCTCCAGCTTTTTTACTCTAGCATAGGACTACTTCAAGCCCACATAGTGTACAGCAGCGGTCTCCAAACTGTGGCCCAGGGGCCAGATGCAGCCCTTTGCTTGCCTTTATCTCGCCCTTGGGGTACTATTTCTTGAACTGATGAGTGTGATGGGGCACCATTGACACCAACAATGGGACACTATTCTGCCAACTGACATCAAAAGCGGGGTGCTATTCCTCCCAATAAAACCAATAATTGGGTATTGCGTACTCCCATTGATGGCAGGGCATTTTCTTTTCCCACCAGCCACAATCTAAACCCTTAAGGACAGTCAACTGGCCCTTTATTTAGAAAGGTTGGAGACCCCTGGTGTACTGGTACAGGCATACAGCCTGCTCATGAGGGAACCTCTCTGGAAAATTCTAGGTGGATGTGGGAATAACTCTTGCTGAGACCTCCCTGCTGTCAGAACACACTGAACAGCGCTGTCAGCTATAGCTGAAGTGCCGACTGAGTGGCATTTATCTGACAGAATGATTGTACACGAGTCAAACGGTAGATTGACTTCTGTAAAACCAGGTTGACATACATTAATCAGAATTCGAAAGTCCCTGCTGAACCAGCCAAATTTCGATCCATGTAGTTAGCCTAAGGATAGAAGACTATTAAACAACCATTCCAGAACGATACCCCTCTGTTTTATCAAAGCATGGTTCAACCCGCCGATAACAAACTCACCAGGGGTTGGTCAGTTGACACAGCAAACAGAACTCTTGGTAACCACACTTGTCACCTAAATTTGGAGCCTTCCCAACAGATTCTGGCAGACTATGTAATACAGATTTCCCTGCACCCAATGGAGTTGATTTACTGTAGGCAAATACTGTAGAATGTGCACTTTTCAAGTGCAGTTGTACTCTACAAGTGTAGTTGCAGTTATTTTTCTTATAACTGCACTTGCAGTAATGTGGTATGCTTCACTTTGTAAAGAATACCTAATCTGGTGAAAGAAAAATTAAACAAAAAAACATTTTTTGCTTGCACATGATTGGATGATGATAATACGCTTTACCTCATTTACTAAGATATAGGGAAAATTAGTGCAACTGCTATTTGTCCTTAGTTAATTCACCTTACCGTTCCACAAAAAACATTTGTAAAAAAAACCCTTAGAATTAACACTACTTTAGCATGGCTGTTAGAGACAAATCCTTAGATTAGTTTTAGAGAGAGTGATGGAGGATTAGATTCCCTGTTGGGGTTTTCTGCTATCTAGGGTTTATTGAAACACAGACAGCCAGCATCAGAAAGCTGCCAAAGGATCTATCTTCCCCAAAAAATGCTGCTGTATTTTTGTCTGTTACTGTAGGAGATATTTCCTCCCTTTCTCTTTGGTGAAACCATTCTCACTGTGACAGTAAGTGGGAAACAATCTTTCTAACAGAGCCCTGGAATACAGTAAAACCTGACAGAGGTTCTAATTCTCCCCTATTCTGTTCTAAACTAAAGAAAACGTTTTGGCTGGGCATTCACTTTAAAATCTATAAGGTAACCAGTGAACAAACCAGACAAAAAAAATGCCAATATATACCTCGGGACTGGTTGTGTTGCAGCAATGCATGTGTTACCACAATTTGTAGTAGTACACATTATGTGCATCAACATGCTGGAGTTCCAGGGGCGGACTGACTATTTGTAAACTCTGGCACTGCCCGAGGGCCCGGGGTCAGTAGGGTGCCCCAAGAGATGCCCCTGGTACCTTTTTCATAGGCTTTTTTTGAGTTTGGGCAAGGACACAGGGGCCCCATGATCCCCTATTGAGGGCCCGGGGTCAATAGGGGGCCCCATGAGATGCCCCTGGTACCTTTTTCATAGGCTTTTTTGAGTTTGGGCAAGGACACAGGGGCCCCATGATCCCCTATTGAGGGCCCGGGGTCAATAGGGGGCCCCATGAGATGCCCCTGGTACCTTTTTCATAGGCTTTTTTGAGTTTGGGCAAGGACACAGGGGCCCCATGATCCCCTATTGCCCGGGGGCCCCATGAGTTGTCAGTCCGCCCCTGTGGGGTTCCATTCATTTTGAATGGCACCCCAACTCTCAAAGTTTTTGGACGAAGTCCTTGGACTGCATTGTGTTACATTCCTGAAAAAAGGCAAGGTGTAGTTTTAGCTATGATTGTGTGCCATGGCAGCCCATTCGAAATGAATGGCCTGTCTAAACACAATGCATGTTAACGCGCAGTAGGGTAAGTGCATTACCAAACCATACAAACATGAACCTGGCCTTACCGTATATTTCTAAAATAATTGGGTCACATATGAAAGTCTATATACAGCTTGCCAGACTCCATTGTGATTGATCTTACCATAAACATATAAGACATTCTGGTCATTAGCAACGCTGCTTACAAATTGTGTCCAAAACATTTTGGTACAAACTGCTGAACCATATATCATTTTTTAAAATTTATATTTATAAAATTATTTACCTTTAAAAGAGACTACACCTTTTAAATACTGACAGGCAATTAAATTGTTAAAATATGACTCTATGCAAAACATTTTTTAAATGTGTGAAGAGTAGTTATATCCTCTGTCAAATGTTTATTGTGGTCTGTGTCCCCATTGGGGAGATTCACCCCACTCTGTCTGTCTGATCATTGTGACTCAGAAAGAAAATGAGAGAAAATCCAACATTTTAGAGCAGTTCAAGAAGTAAGGGAAAATCTTCCAATGGGGGCAACTGTTCAGGGGTAACTCTGTAAGAGGTGAACTTCCCTCACTTTTGGAAAGATCTGCAAAGTTCCTGTTGCATCTATGGAATGCAAAGTGATAGGAAATTTCCTCAAAGACACACAGATAGCAAAAAAATAAACCAATAGAGGTTTACTCTATTCAAAACAAAAAATGTATTGCTTATACAGTACATAACACATTTCAACTTACTTATTAGGGGATTTATTATCTTTCTCTCTGCTAAAACTGTTTTAGCAAACCTGTGTATTTGTGTGCATGTTGTTTACATCCCCCGATGTTCTCCTTACATTTTGGGCTGTAGTTGATGGACTAGGATTACAAATTATACATAATTTTTGGATAATTAAAGCGCTGCATAAACTGTTGGCGCTATATAAATCCTGAATAAAAATAGTAATTCAAGATTTAAGTAATTTCAGAAAGAAGGAAAAAATACTTTTTTTTTCTCTTAGAACAAGGGTTATCCTAACTTCCTGGAACAGGGGAACTGAGATATGATCTCCTTTATAATGTCACAATATATATATATATGTATTATCTCAGCTTTGGTAAATGCTGTAAGAGTTTTGACCAGCCTTAATTGATCAGATTTTAATCCCAGCACACTGCCGGAGTCAGCAGAAAACTTGATCTGTTCGAATACGAGCAGATAGATCAGAAAGTGTCGAGAAATGTGTCTCGTCAGCTTGGAAAAAGGAAAACAAGACTGATTTATGGGGACAGTTTTGGTGAATCACCCACCCACCAGCCATCCAGATGAAATGCTAGCTTCTCTTCACTCTGCCCTGCCAGACACTAATACAATCAGGCTGCAAATTGGAGAACTTTGTTTCTTATTCTTTTTTCAGGTGTGAAAATGAATTAGAGATCTTCCTACGGCAAAGGGAATTGTGACTCATAGGCAATGACATATTATTTATTCTTTTATTTTATAACAAAAATAATTAAAACAAACCACAATCTTAAATGGAAGCTAAAATGTTTTTAAAGTGCACCTGTGCTTTACCCTACTCTGTCCCCTTGCTCCACTAGGAATAAAGAGAAATACCCAGTACTTCTGGGTATGGGGAGCATGTTGTTTACTACGCCTCCTCCCATTCTTCCTTCCACTAGTGATTGGTAGCTCAGGCACCAAGTGCTGTCACATGGAGCTGGGGAGTGAGCCCTTAACCCTTTGGTTGAAGCTTATACAGGACATCTTCTCTTCTGGAGCAGCTAAGAAATAAGGTACAAAACAATAGGCAAATCCAGGTTCATTTTAAAGTCTCTTAGACATACATATAGTTATGGTCAGCTACATCTTAGTATGTCCTAAAAGTGTAAAACATTTTTATGAATACATTGCAAATTACAGATGTATTTAGAAGCATCCACATTTGTACATACAGGCTAGGGAAGAACTGGGCTGGTATGGGCCTGTGAACCTTGGCCAGTACTGATAGGAGAAATTGGACTGGTGGTCTTGATTAGAGCAGGACCTACAGTCAGAGAAACATGGTCAGCATTATATAGCAATTTGCTCACCATTATGACCTGAAGCTGTATCAGAGGGAAATCTTTAAGCACTGATTTCCTGCGTGGCTCTGAGATGTTATGTGGCTGAATGCCGAAAGTCACATAAATACTGGAAGGTGTGAAAAGGTGTCACAATAAACCATGTCCTGTAGGAACACCCATCTTTAACAATACCAAGTAATTATTGTGAAACCATTTCATACTTTGCATAGTACATTTTAATTGTTTTAGCCTGCAGAAATCTGTACCTCCAGTGGAAAGGTCACATGGTTCCCACTCCAACCCTGATGCAGACTGTATTCCAGGAACGTAATTTTTGGAAAGATGTAGGCTTAATTCTTTGTATTGAATTAAATAGTCTGCAAACCAAAAACAGCATTGTGCTAATGTGTGAGTAGGCTAAATCCTTATTTGGCTTCTTAGTCCTTTGGTTCTGTTGAGTTCCAGTATAGTTAAAGTGGTTGTAAAGGCTCAAAGTTTTTTTACCATCATACATTCTATGCATGAAGGTAAAAAACTTTCTGTGTACAGCAGCACCCCCAGCTCCCCCAATACTTACCTGGGACCCATCACAATCCAGTGATGTGCATGAGAGCCTCAGCTCTCTTGGATTCTTCCCTCCTCATTGTCTGAGAGAGTTGTAGGAGCCATTGGCTCCCCCTGCTGTCAATCACAGCCAGTGAGACAATGAGGAGAGAAAGGGGGCAGGGCTGAACCGTGCTCTGTGTCTGAATGGACACGCAGAGCTGTGGTTTCCTATTTGGGTGCACTCCACAGGAGGGAGGGACCAGGTGCGTCGGCAGTGGACGAGAAGAGAAGGATCAGGGCTGCCATTCTTAACTGTTCTACCCAGATGGAAACCTTAAAATAACATAGATCTCAGGAAGCCCCTGCCAGCTCACTGTACAATACCCTGTGTCTTTAACACTCTCCTGCTCTAAACAACAAAATTATTTTCAGTAATGATCATGAAATTTAGACAAGTAATACAATTCCTATAAAAGGAATGCTGACTGTAAAAAACTGAACTGTCCCCTTACATTTGGAGATAATGGAGAACCACCACCCCTACATTGATGGTCAGTATTGTGCCTCCTTATTATGGTGGTCAGAGTATCCCCTTCTTACATTGGTGGCCAGAGGTAGGGGTGCCCCTTATACTGGTGGTCAGTAGGAAAGGGGACTGTTTCATTTACTTCTGTTTTTAGGCAATAACCATTACTTTTGTCAACCAAAAACAATTTTTTTTAAGAACTAAAAATAAAATGGACATGTGAAAAACAGAAGTACACTGATGTAAACTTAACTGAGCAGATCTGAAGATGGATGTACAAACTGATATAAAAGGATTTGGTTTTCATGCATTGTTTTTTATAGAACTGACTATGGTCATATGAAAGGACCCAAAAATGTGACTGATGATGCAGAAAGCAAAAAAAGGGTATGTTACACAGCATATGCTGAGCTTCTGGCGGTACCCTGCTATAGTAATGCTACTAGCTCTTTAGGCCTAGTTTATATTTATAGTTGAAGGCCATAAAAATAAGTGCCATGGTTTTATTGCCCCCCTTAAGGTGCAAAGACTGCTGGATGTACACATGCAGTGGCCGTGATGCCCTGCTTTGAGGTCATGGCAAAAATTATACTCCATGTCACATTTGGTGGGCAGTACTGCCACTGAACACAACCCATTCAAGTGAATGGGGAGGTGTAGGCTTTGCAAGGTGAACAGGTAACATAACACCTCCCAGCCACCTGTCAAATGTCCTCTAAAAAGATAAACTTCTGATTAAAGCAGAAAAGCATTAGTAGCTCCCATACTGATGTCACTTGTTACCTATAATCACTCTTTAACCAAATAGATGGATCATGAAGTTTCTTCTTGAATATAATAAATAGCAAGTTTTTTTTACAGTTCACAAACTAATTTTCAACTCAGTAGAGGACTGACAGTCAATCATCATCCCCAAGGTGCACGTTATCCTCAGATGTCCTTCTGTTTATCTTGGATGCTGGTCAACCTGTATCTGAATTTATAAAGCAGAATGATGTCTTCTCAACAGGACAAGATGTTAGCAATATCTAGCGGGTTAATGTGTTTTGCCTTTTATATAATTATTACATGTTTTTTTCATGCCAGAATAAAGACACCTAATATTAACTGACACGTCAAGCACATTATATGACACCAAATTCAAATAAGGCCAAAAAAGCACTTAACATTGCTTGCTTTATTTGCCTAGTGGCATGCTTCAACCAGCTTTAGAAAAAATGGCTTGTTTTCATGAAAACAATGCCTTTTTGTTCATATTTACTTGTGAGCTAGATTCACCTCTACACAGCTTTAAATGAAGGGATGATACTGAACAGGTAACACACAGGCCATGTCACTCAGCCTGAGCAATGAATAAAGAACTTTAAGCCAGTCCATCATTTTGTAGCCGATGTAATGCAGCAAAGGTGAAGGGTAGAGAAAGGTACAGGCTGTCCTTGTACTTCTCAGTTATACAAGATTTAGTATATTTTTGGAATATGATGTTAAAGATGTGTCCTCACTCTGATTACGCCCCATCATGTTTCCATGTTACCATAGAAGTCAAATAAAGTAAACTGCATCCATGGTTGTAAAGCAGTCTTTATGGTTAAGGCCTCATGCTCACTGAGCATTTAGCCCATGGTACAATGGTTCTTGGCATTTAGCTGCAGATAGAATGCACTGGCATACAATCCAGCCCCACTGCCAGCAGCATGCCAAACTCTATGACAGTCTCAATGCTGCTGCTGCTATAGGTGGCTTTTCCCTGTATAATTATCAAAACACACATTGTTTTTCTGTTATCAGTAGAAATATAAACTTATTTACACATGCTCTGCCTTTCTAATCTAAGTACGGAAGTGTGATCTCT